GCCTTACTGGCTGGTTCGGAGTCATTTCGTTTCGGACCTTAAGCCAGGCAGGTTCCATTACGGCTACTGTGCGTGCCATGAGACGCGACGACGAATTACGGCTTCTCTTCTTCCTACCACTACCATCCCCCGTCGCCCAACACTCTCAACGCGTCCCTGATGCCGTTCATCCCCGGCCTGCAAGTGGGACCTAACGTCGAGAACCTGGACAGCATGTCAGAGCTCCGTTTCTAAATCTCGATCTTCCACGTTAACGGCAGTACTAGCAGAAATTCGCATCACTAATTTTGAGCGCCGACAATTTGGTGGAATAGGCCTGTTGGAACAGGGTGATTCATCCTCAACCTTGGTTCTATACAGTTGGCTGGCTAGAGAAAATCGAGGTGCGCTCCATTTGATTCTGCGCCTCGTTTCAAACTAATTTCTGAAGGACCAGTTGCGGCGACAAAAATTTCGCGTATCGCACTTGGCACGACCTACAGTTCGCGCCCGAATCAGATGCCTGGGAACCACGCGTTGCTACCGCCTTCCGAGTGGGCGTCAGCGCGGATTAAAAGTGGGGAGAATCTTAGTGGACCAAATTCACTCTGCCTTACTCTCCGTCTCTCAATTCATCTGTCTAGTCACTGGCACCCATGTAATACAAATTAGCATGTGATATTTTCGAATAATATGTATCCTTGGCCGTTTCTTGTACCAAGTGCACTGGTTGTGAATAAAAATGATGTCAACCAGACCAAATGACCAGCGGAATGTATTGCTTGTGCTTGGAACCCACAGAAATCCAATCTGCCTCCTTTTCCTGAATTTGCCTCAGATAATCCAATCTTCCTCGTATTACGCTCATCTACCTAACATCAAATTCTATCTGGGCCCGCCATCTCGTCGATCCTCGAGAAAAAGGGTGGTGATCTATTTAGAAGGTGACACAGTGCACGAAACGAAGAATCGCCTTACTGGCTGGTTCGGAGTCATTTCGTTTCGGACCTTAAGCCAGACAGGTTCCATTATGTTCATGAAGAAAAAGGGTGGTGATCTATTTAGAAGGTGTCCCAGTGCACGAAACGAAACTCTGGAGGACATCACAGAAGAATCGCCTTACTGGTTCGGAGTCATTTCGTTTCGGACCTTAAGTCAGGCAGGTTCAATTATGTTCACGAGGAAAAAGGTGGTGATCTATTTAGAAGGTGACACAGGGTGCGAAACGAAATTCTGGAGGGACGTCACAGCAGAATCGCCTTACTGGCTGGTTCCGGGTCATTTCGTTTCGGACCATAAGACCAGACAGGTTCTAATTATCTTCATGAAGAAAAAAGGTGGTGATTTTAAATTTATTGAGAAGTTGACACAGTGCGCAAAACTCTGGAGGAGGGAACCACAGAAGAATCGCCGCGCTGGCCTTACTGGTTCATCAGAGTCAATTCGACCACGAAAAGGGTGGTGATTTCTTTAGAAGTGGGCACGATGTGCGCGAGACACCTCGAGCCAATCTCGGGCCTTACCGCAAGTTCCAATTTGCTTCGAATGAGAGTAGACAGGCTTTAACCAAGTCAACCGTCCCTTAAGCGAGGCAATTCAGAGAGAGAGAGAAATACTAGAAGCATCAACACACTGAGATGTGACCCAGAGTAGGATGGATGATAGTAGGATTCGATGTGGGGCGCCTCTGAGTAAATGCAGGCAACCTCGACAATGTTATCCGACCCTGAGTACTTTGTATTCGAATTTCTACAAGCACATCCCCCCACCTGATAGCGATGCAAATCCTAGTAAGGCTCCAACTGTTTCCGTTTGAAAACATTTTCAAACGGTGAAAACCATTTTTACTTGTTGGGTGAGGCCACCGCAGTCTGCGTGGCGAAACTCGCAATTAAGAGTTTCCCTCTCGTTTTCAACATCACGATATGTCATATATGGGAAGCCTATCAGTTACAGATTCGTCTCTCCGCACAACCCAAATCTCTTATTTCCTACGTCATGTGTTAAATATCAAACAAGATATGCCGGAGCGTAGCTCCGGCTGGTTATAGTTGTACGCTGGGCAGTTAGGTGTGTGAAGGTGTGCTACTGGGAAAAGTATTGACCGGGAGAACTTGACAGCTAAGTCTACTCTAGGCTATAAGTAGGAAACTCGTCAGAGTAGATTTTTAACCAACAGAACCAACTTTGCGATGGTTGCTGTCCAAGTGTCAGTTTGTCACATAGATGGCAGAATCTAATTTTCGCCCTCAGTGGCAGGGTAAACATGTCAAATAACAACCTACTCATCGCAATATCTGTTGGTTGGCTACTCTTGGACTTCGTGCTCTGTCTCCAAGAAGGTGTATGTCAACTCAGTTATTTCGAACTCGGGTGCTGGTTTATGGAAGAGTTGAGAGCTACTACAACATTATATACCATTATATACTATGAGATCCTCACGCGCTCCCGTGCACCCGTAAAAAAAAAAACACCCAACAGAAATAGTGAATTGGCTTACACAGGGAATGCTTTACGCCGTCACGATACTGTGGAGCCAACGCACGGGATCCCGCACACGCCGAAGCAGTGCAGATATACAGCTGTCAGATATCAGCCTCGGCGAAAACAAAAGAGCAACAGAAGACGCACCTTCTGTGTAGCCCTCGCGAGTTGGCGCAGATATGCATGCTGTAGGCGCCAAGCCACCGAGATGGTGAAGTGCGACAAACTTTAAACCTCCCCGCTGTGACATCATGAGGTGTTAGCGGATTGGGAGTGCGGTGATCAAAGTGTACGTACAGGCGCAAGTTCTCCATGGCGATGCTGGGTTTTAGGTGCTGATATTAGGGAGCCGATTTGAACGGCAGGACATGTGTGAGAGCGGCGAGGCGAAGTTCATAGGAAGGCAGCATGTTGACGCACGAAATACAAAGCTCGACGAGGTCCTGGCTGAAAAGGGGCGGGTACCACACACTTGGTTCGATGTATGGCTGATTACCGTTGGAAGCACGCTGGAAGCACGCTGGCGGGAATAGGGGCAGTACATATGGTCCGGTGCTGTAGCGCTAGCTAACATTTGGGTTCCAGGTGAATTGGATGCAGCTCTTGAAAAGGCTTGAACAGCGCGAGAGCTGTTGGCGTTGATGAAGGTAAACCCGAGCGAAAGAGCTCACTAGATCTTGAGCAACACGAAGAATCTGGGTTCATTTTGAAGCCTTGAAATTTTGCACGATCTGATTGCGGTACTTGTTCGTCTTGACACGTAACCCCCACTAGGCTTGAGCGCCTTGAGTTATCACCCGATATCTTGGAGTCCAGAACACTTGCGAGGTCTTGTGGTGGCTTGAGCCAGTCAGAAAATCACATTGTACGACATAGCGGAGAGAGAGGGAAGGATGGCGGGCGGGGGAGAGGATGGGGAAAGAACAAAGAAGGCTTTTGGACGGCCCTCCCTTATCCACGGATTTTGAGCGCGAGAGAAAAGGCCGCGTGATTTCTCGGAAGTGAGCGGCATGGAGCTAAGCAAAAGTCTTGCGAACGTAGATCGGCGAAATCGCCAAGATTTGATGCTGCGATGCTGTAAACTTGAGCGCAGCTGGGCGCTCCGTTGAAAACGAGTATTTATACCCCGGGAAATGACGCGGTGTGGGAGAAAAAGAAGAACATAAACAGACACACATAAAATCAGTGCATCTGCTTAAGATATGAGTAATATGAGTAATAGCATTACCCTGAGTACAGCGGTGCTTGCGCAAACTTGTGCATAGTAGGTCAGATGCATTAGGCAGAGCATCCCCGGGCCGCAGCTTTAACCACAGCGTGCCGGTCCATGCCTCCCAAGTCGCCGCAATGTGCCGATTGATCTCCAACACTAAAGATCATAATGCTCGGCATGCCATAATGCCGAACCTTTCTACGTTTCTTCGTGGCTCAGCGCCTATTTTTTCTCTTGCTTCCTGCCGCCACCATTAACCGTTCTTTAACGATTACCTCGGGTCTGGTAGCCGACTGCGTTTGCGTCTCTCCTCACTGGTATGCAATCGTCCAACGCCATGCGGCCGGAAATTTACACTAGCTGCGCTAGCCATTCAGTTGGGACGACGCGATTTAGGTGAGCGCCCAGGCCTCGTCTCATCTGGTGTTCGCTTACCGTACGATACGTCAAGCCAAGTCTGTCGTGTGTCATATACAAGCGCACTATCTCGTGCCGCAAGAAAACCTTCCCCACGATCGAAAATCCAGCGCGCCAATGGAATGCCATGTCGCTCTCGTCCACCACTGGACGCTGAGCGATACTCCGGCACGGCGTCGCAATCCAGACGCCATATCATCAACAAACAGCGATGCCCTCAGAAGTACCAAACAGCGGGTGCGTCTCCCTGTCTGTCCCTGCGTCGGGACTCGTGACGTGGTACTCGCTAGCCGTGGTTCCTCACCAGAGCTCTGAAATCGGGACATCCAGGATTAAGACCACGATGGGTACGTCCAGCCCGTCCTCCGCTTCAGAACACTCACGAACACCAAATGCAGGGTTTGTGCCCCCGATACTACGGCGCACACAACAGTTCAGAAAGACTGAGACAGAATGGCAATTGGCAGTGGGTCTCTTCTTCTCTTATCATTTGTGTGTCTCCCCAAAGCCCTCCGATACCTCGCCGGTTCTCTCTTCTCTGCTTTCTCTTGTCCGATTTTTTTTCTGCACAAGAAAGGTTGACGATACAGGTATGTCACTTCTACGCGCAACAACATGTCCGTCCATACGCCGATCATGGCAGTCCTCCACATCTGTCTTCATAAAATTCAGCATCCTACGGTGAATTCCCGATACCGCTACATTCATATTCACAACACATTATTATGGTACAGCACACGCTGCAGGCTTGCTGGTCCTTCTCCAAATATCAATCGTATTCCGGCCTCCTGGCATGATCCCTGTGCACTGGTGCGTTCTTCGATGGCGTGTATTGCTTTGCTTGCGACTCCTTTGTCCTTTTCTCCCGGTCGCCTTATCGGTGACCCAACTACTACCTTCGCCTATGTCCGGTATGGTGTAACGGTTCAACATTGCCGCTTTTCATTCCAATTGTCGCGGCAGCTCGGGGTTCGATTCCCCGTACCGGAATCGAACTTTGCTTTCGCTTTTTACTACCTAGCTAACCAAGATCAAGGGGTGTTCGATCCTCCAGACAAGGCAAGAAACCACGCGCCCACCCATCAACTCGTACTCCGATTCCAGGTACTCCGACCCATCTGCTTTGCACCTCAGGAACCCTTCTCATTGATTTAGCCCAGTCTGCTACATTTTCTCCGAATGTTCTACTGCGTAGGTCGTTCAGCAGAGGAGCCTTTGAGGGGTTCAGCCCCATTGACAATTTTCATCGTCTTGTGCTCAAATTCCGGAAATCTTTTGCGACGTCTCTGTGCCGACGGTGGTCGAAGTAGAGCCGACGGACAGGAACACGGTTACCTCGGCTAGTCAAATATCGAATGGACGTCGCGGGTTTCTACTGTTTAAAGGTCTCTGGGCCTGTCTGCACGCATGATGTCGCCGCTCTCTGATCCGCTCTCAGTACCGAAGCGTATCAACCAAAGTCTCCAAAACCTTCTCTGCGATGATGCGTGAAATCGTCGGGACTCGGAGGAGTTCGGTCATAGTGAGGCCGAATGTCGCAGAGAAGATCGAGGTCAAGACTGTGATATTCGTTTACCGCAGTATAATCCTACAGAAGCAGATAAGTATTTGCCAAGCACGATGACGAGGAACATATGATATTCACTGATGTCCGTCACTTCGCACGGCGGATAGGGTTATGCGGCGCCGGAAAGCGTGGTGCAGATCGAGCGCATGGAGATGTTCAACGGCTTTGGTTCTCCCACCTTCGACAAATGGATCCGCGGCCCCGACGGATAAGCCAAGATCTTGAGAGCGCAGAACTTCAAAGTCACGCTCGAATAATGGAACGAATGTAGCAAGCCAAAGCAACAATGGCGGACAGTGTCGCCGCGACTCACTTGAGCGAGCGCAGTTTATGGATAACATCCTGCATGTCATCCTGGTTCCACTCGCCCCTCCATCCCTCCTTCGTCTCCGCCCGTATAACCGACGGCTCGCGCGCGTGCCGATGCCGCGGTGATGTCGCATTTACAGCAACGAGCGTGTCCAGGAACGGTGTGTCGGGACGAAACTGCATATACGCGGATTCGGGGGTGGTCTCGGTCGAGTAGTGGTTGTGAATGGAGGTGTATGAGTCGCGCCGAAGGTCACGCGGGCTCGGCTGACGGAATGTGGGGAGCTCGGCGGTGGGGGTGACGGGTGTGGACCACTCGTCGTCGTCTTGCTCTAGGGGTGGCGGGCGCGTAAACTGCGCCGAGGGAGGGCGTGCCGCGGCGAACTCGATCGGGCTGATAAGGCGCGACTGCCGCCGGATGTGCGCATCGTCGATGAAACACTCGTCCTCGAAGTCCTGGTCGTCGTCGCCTTCCTCATCAGGTGAGGAGGGACGCGGTGACCTGCCAGAGAAATCGGACACGATAATGCCCCGCGCGTCCTTGAGAATTTCGAGCGAGAGCTGTTTGCCCAGCATCCGAGAGGCCTTATCCAAGCGCGTGGGCGTAGGCGTAAACCGGATATCATCAACGGGATGGACATTGGTCTCGTGTAGACCCACGGAGTGCGGAGAGAGGGGTGGTGGGGTTACGTTCCGAGGCCGAGCCGTTGGTATCGCTGGGGAAAATGAAGGGCCCGCGTTCTTTCGTCGCAGACTGAGGAAAGACGAAATGGATGGGCGGCGGTTGGGCGAGTTTGGAACGCCAGGTGATGAGGCCGCTGATGTCAACGCTCGCGCACGCGGCGGCAAGGTATCGGGCAAGGCCGAAGTCGCTGGGGGCGCTTTGGCTTTCCCTTTCTTGTCCAGTTTAAGAAGTGGTTTTGGCGGTTTCGCTGTACTGGTCTCGTAGGGGACATACATCGATGGAGGCGATCGCGGCCGGGGACGACCTCGAGTCGTCAAGGACACAGCGGACGACGAGGGAGAAGACATGGAGAAGGTCCCGGAGGACGCCGGGGAAGGCATCGAGAAGTCGGTGGGGGGAAGAGATGGACGTGAATCATATACAGCGGGTATGTATATCTTGTGTATATCTGTGTATTTGCTGCGTTGAGGCACGGTGATACGGATCTGCAATCTCAGTTGATCTGCCCAGGTGCAGATGCTGCCAGTGATTACCGACGGGTCCCGGACCTTGGGGAAGCAGCTCCCTGCATGTGCCCCGAACGGTCTTCAACACCATCCGACGGAAGCAGATCTACAGCTACATTGTATAGCGTTGAGAGTAGCCCCCGTCATCTTCAAGGCTTGAGACGCTACAATAATCTTGACAGATTGCAACCATGTCATTCAAAATGAAACCATCTACGCATCTCCATGGGGTCTCGTTGCCAGAGGCGATAGCTTTGGTTAAAGGACTTCTGTGGACTTGTTGAACCAGTGGGCAGCAGAAGTTAGAGGTTACATACTTCCCTGAATATATGACCAGAAATTGTTGAGCGATCATAATTAAGAATCGAGAATTTAAAAGACTTGGGAACTCTCTCGCATATATAAATGGAGTCCACCGGTGATTGAGCAAAGTGCGAGCGGCAAGGGCGTCGTTTCAAGTTCAGGGCGGGACGAAACGCGGTGTTCGGCGCTCACGCCACGTTGCTCCCGCACGATTGGCTGTATGCGTATCTCGGTTCGTTGGCGACGATAGTTCCAAAAGGGAGACGTTCCAACACGGTGAACAGTCGGTGGTGGGGACCTGTCATGAGAGGTGCAGTTCGTAGAAATACACTGGGGATCGCGGTACAAACGAACCACCTAGAAATCCGTCACTTGGATCGCAGCGTGGTCGGAGCAGAAGTGACCAGACCAGACGGTAGAGAAGTGACGCCGCGGACAGATAAGTAGCACTACAAATTGGTGCTCAAGTGCGGAAGCAAACAGGCGATTGGGTGGTTAGAGGTACGACGAGTAAGTAGTATGTAGCACGAAGCTCATACGGTGTAAGTACCCTCGCATCAGGAAAATGTTTTTGAGCTGGCGGAGCTGGCGCCAGCTCTGCCAACGTCCGCCAACGCCGCCATCACGCCAGAATTTGATCTGGCTCCATAAAAAGATACCGGGCGCCAGAAAATATTCTGGCAGCCAGCTCGACCATTTAAATTATTCTGGTGCCAGAATACTTGCCAAGTTTCATGCCAGCCTTGCCAGTTTTCACGCCAGCTTTCCCAAATCTCAAATGTAGCGGTAAATTTCACGGCCAGAAACGGCGCCAAATTCAAATTAGATTCAATGTATATACGGGATCATAAATACGACTGTTCACCACCGTACACCTGGTAAAAACTGTGAGTGAATGGCCGAGGCCAGGGAATATGTCAGACACGTACGACCTCGGAACTCAATCCTCGTCGCCATCAGATACGATGATGGCGAAACGAGGATCCACGTAGAGACCACCAGCCAATACCGAATCATCCGTTGACGAGGCTTGCCTTTATCCCAGTGCAGAAAAGGTGACGAGCTCATAGATCTCACGCCACTTCTGGTCCAACAGCTTCTGGATGGGCGGCAGGTAACGGAGCGCACGCTGAGCCCAAGGATTGGCGATGAAGCTCAGTGCCGGATTCTTCTCCTTCCGACCCGTGCCCTCATTATCGAGCGTCCCCCACAGAGAAAAGGAACGTTCTGGCTGGCAGTCGAGCCGTGTTAGTTATCTTCATGTGTGATTGCATGCCGTGACTTACTCCAGCCAAGCAAACTGTCATCCCACCAATTGGCAGCCCGAATGACCCGTCGTTTTTGAGGACAAGACGGATGCGAAGAGGCGAAGAGGCGAAGAGGCGAAGAGGCGAAGGGCGAGCTCCCCACGATAGCTGCCGCTCTTGAAGAATATTGAGCCAATGCCGAGAAGATACTATTGACATACCTTCGACGTCGGGTCGCGATACAGAAATTTCACGTTTGCAGCTTAATCTGCAACCCACTGGCGGCGTGCCTGGACAGTGTCAAGCTTGAGTTGATGGTCTTTGTTACCGCCGTGAGGGCCAGCAATTGGTTCGTCCTGCGAGCAAATATTAGTACTGATGCAATACATGAATTCTTTCGTACTTGCGATTCTGTTGATGGCTGAGGATTCTCGACAGTAGCGCGAGCGTTTGCGGCACGCTTGAGCTCTGCGATGACAAGATCAAGACGTGCGACGGAAGCTCGAGCATGCTCATCCTGTGTGTGAAGATCTTTAACGACAGCCGCACCTTTTTGACCCCACGCTTGACTTTTTCCTGGGCGGCCTTCTTGTTGTCGATCTCTATCTGGACTTTCGTTTGGCGCAGCTGCTTTGCCTTGTTGATGATATCACCGGGGCGGGCTTTTTGAGGCTTCACGCCGGTCTCGATCCGCCATGGTGGTGGGCGTTGGTGAAGAGGAAAAGTGGAGCAGTGATGGTCGGAGCAAGAAAAAATGAAGCGAGTTGTGACTCATGTGGCGGACGGACACATGAAATTTAATCAGAGATCGGCACCGGGAAATGTGGGCCGAGGCGAACGCCCTCCGCTGTACGCACTGACCTACCAGCATGCCGGCTGGTCATAGAAAAAAGCAGGTGGACCCCGGCGGCGAGCTTATACCAATTCTGGTATCCATGCTCAGGCTAACCACACTGTCAATAACTTTTCACCACCGGGGTCTCCAGAAATTCGAGGAGATGAAGATGAATTTATGCCCTCTCCACCGCCGCTGTATGTGGCGCCGTCGTCACAAAGGAATTATCATCCCTTCCTGGACGGTAGGTGCGACAGCTTCAATGAATGTCTAGTATTTGAAATTTGGTCAACAGGCTGACCATGCGATGAGACAGGCGAATTTTTGCCTGCGGGCGCGCCTCCGCCACCTCGTACAGCCGCTCCAAAGGCCATTTGATTCCCGTCTACGGTTCTGCCCATAAGTATCCCAGTCAATTTCTGATACCACCATGCTCTTGACGCCTTTAAAAAATTTCATGTAAACAAGTACATAGATCATCATGCAAATGAGATTGTGTACTGAACTCAAAAGCGTACAAAGTGAATTCAGATTCTGG